ACATCATTAAAAAAATCAAATAATAAGCAAAGAATGGGTAATATATAAAAAAGTTCAATGTAGGACACATGCTGGAAAAAATTTGAGGGGAAGGAGAAAGGGGGAGTGTAGGGGGGAAACTTTAAAAGCCAGAACAGCTCACTCGGGAATTTCCCTAAGGTTTTGCACTCATACATGTACAGAAAGTTCCTTCAGCAATTTGTTCTTCCTGAAAAGTCTAGCATTAGCAGAAAATATTATTCAATTAATAATAAAATAATTATTAATATATTTTGAGACTCATTTACTTTTATGACTCCACAATAACATCAAGTCCAATTACACCCTTTGTATAGTTTTGTTCATTAATTTTCACAATTATAATATGTACAAGTAATTAGAGTTTGGCAACAAAGTAACTGAAAATGGCACACCGCTGTTGTGTAATTAATGAAATATTAATCAAATATAAAATCTTAAATATCTGAATACATGTACACAACTATTCAGGCCACAAAGTGAACTCTGTCACACACTCTGCAGTGTAAACAGCACACTGAGCAAGAAAATCATGGGAAAAAGACAAAACACATTGTATTACACGTTTTTTGTTTAAACTGGCCACCTACTCTTACTGATGGAAAATAAAACTCAAGTTACAGTGTCTGTATCAGTCAGTAATACAGTCATATCACAATGAATTCATGTGTAAAAAGCATAAATTTTTTTCTCCTCAACAGACCACCCCTCCCAACCAACAGATTTCACAGTCCACTGTGAGGCTGCACTCTCCTGACAATGATTTAAGGCAAACTAGATGTAGTCAGTTATTAAGTTAGTAAATTCTGCTCTGATCTGGAAGAAAATTTTTGTTACTGCCTTCACTGGCACCAAGGAAGTCAGCTTGTTCTGCAGTTTTGTTCCTTACCCATGGAACCACTTGCTGTGCACCAAGGGGCAAAACTTGAAAATGGAAGTGCTTCAACATGACTAAACAATTTACTATAACCAAAAATTAGTCCCGATAAGCTACTCTATAAAAATGGAGGTTTGCATTTACTGAAGAATAACCTATTCTTTCTATCTTATAATAGATCTTATAATACCCTCTTCACTGTATTGTGATAAAAAGCAATTAGGTGGCTGTTGAGGTTGCTAGCACTCTTACAAGAGTCTACGCTGACTGACAGGAACTAGCAAGAGATTTTATTAAATTCTCTGATAAAAGTACAATATGCATGCAAATTATTATACCTATCTGAAAGGCCTCATATTTTATAAAAACCGAACACTGCTTGAGATTCTGGACCAGCATTTTGATTTGAATTTTAGATACCTAAAGATATTCTTCTACAAATTTTGAAGGAAATTTACTTCTGCTCTAACAGAAGAAATACATGGCTGCTAAGAACACTGAAAACATTCCTTTAAGTTACATATGTTTAAAAATAATGTTGAAGATTTTTTACTTACCAATTTAAAACATTTTTTAAGAGCGATTATGACAGATTAACAGATAATTACTAAAACCCCCATTTTGGAAACACTGAATGTTTCTAAACATTTAGAAAATAAATATCCCAAGTATTGGGGATATCCGTACCTTCAAATTAATACTCAAGTAACTTTAAACAGGTAATGAAAACTAACTGTCATTGGGGGGGGGGTTGGAACTAGATGATCTTTAAGGTTCCCTCCAACCCAAACGATTCTATGATTCTGTAACTTGTAAAAGTGTACATACAAAATGGTAAATGCATGGAAAAGCATAATCTCATTGATACTACAAATGCCAAAATAGTTTCAATGGATTCTTGAAATTATAGGATACTCAGAAAGTCTGAACAGTTGCAGTATTCTGGTTACTACAGACTGGTCAAATAAAAAAGTAGTCTCAGTAAAAAGACCTTTGGCTTACTCACTCCCCAAAGGGTTCTCTATTTGTCTTGTGTTAATGAGCAATTAACATTAATCTTGTTTTAGACAAGATACGAAATGTATAGGTAGCAAGATACCATAAAACTAAAGCCGGTTTCTTAAGAGGCCACATGCCAGACTCCTGAAAACATCATTTCTTCTTTAGCTGGTAGTTGCCCCAGCCTGCCATTCTATCACTGAAGAAAACCATAACATTATCTTACAATGCTGTAAAACATCACTAATTGTTCAGAAATTTATTTTCCTTCACAAGGAAGGCAAAACACTGTTTAAGTACAAAATTACAAATTCCAAATTGTGTGTCAAGGCCATTATTAAAAACAGAGTTTTGACATTTTAGACGGAGTATCACTTTGAACAAAAATTGGTATTGGGAGTTTTGCCTATGAAGGCTTTCAAGTGGTGCATGAGTCCTCAGGCAAGGTTCAAGACAGAAGCTGAAAGAAAAGTGTGTAAGCAGGCGAGACGGGAGCAATGGTGGTGACTCAAAAGTCTCACCTCTCCTCTAAGTTGCCCTATACACTTATAAAACCACAGAAACTCAAAGCTCAGGAAAAATTTGGCAGATGGATCTCATCAGAGCCTGTACTATCTGACGGTAACATTTAAAAGGCTGCCTTTGCTTTCCAGGTAGCCTGTGTACACAAACCCCTTACACGCTGTATTACACAAACTTGTTCAACTTAGCAAGTAAAACTGCTCCTTGAATTACAAACAGATGGCAGTCCCTGGAACTGTCCCTGGGAAGCAGATGACTTCTTTAAAGTAATACACTGCTAATGCAGGAAGCTTCACAAGCAGTAAGCACATGGAAGCCATAACCATAATATCACGCCACTCTTAATGAACTTCATTTGCTTTACCTCCATGCTGAATTTGACCCCCTACTGCTACTGCAATCCTCTTATATTTCAACTTCCCACAAGCAGTTTTGGTAGATTTTGAATCAATCCTCCACATCAGTAGATACACAAAGCACACAAAAATCAGAAAATAGTAGCCTTTCTTATGTGCAGCTCTAGCTTAGAAAGAGAGCAAAACGGAAAAAATACAACAACAACAACAAAAAACACAAACAAAAAAAAAAAACCACACCAAACCCAAGTAAGGATTCTGTTGTGGGCTCAAATTCAAGGGTATTCGCCAAATAAGAAGTAAACTAGTAAGAACAGAATGAAACTGAAAGTAAAGACGTAGAGGAGAACAATCCTAACAGCTGAACTGACACCTTGAGCAGATGAACTTAGACCAAAGTAAAAAGGGAGCATAAACTTGCTACCACCTTCCCACCAGCACATACTTGAGAAATCAGCTTTAAATATTAAATAGGAGCTTGATAAGACAACATTCTTATACCATCTTCATTACCATACTGAACATCTCCCAAAAGCATGTTGAAGGATATGAATAATCTTGAGTTTTGGTCATAACTTGGGCTTAACTGCAGACACATGGTTTGTTGGAGTGAGGCTCTGTATCATCTTCTGATTTAACTGAAAATGACAAACACCCCTGCCAGTAGAAAGGTGTTTAGTGTGACTTCTGGCTCCTGCCTTGAAAATGCCTTAAAAGAGAGCCTTTGGTTTTGTTTACTTGCTGTCGCCTCCCTGACTGTCTTGGGTTTGAAGCATACGTGTTCAAGTAAGAGTAGACAGAAAAAGAACAAGACTTCTAGCAGAAAACATCTGTGAAAGTTTATCGAGGCCCTCATCTAATGTGGGAATTCACTGTAATCTAGGACTTGTCTCTCAAAGATACGCCTATGCTGTCACATTAGTGCAATTCTCCAACTTTCAGTCAAGCCCACTCAGTCTCACACAGAGTTTTCATTCTAGCTCTAACTTGGAGAGAACGAGGTGACTCTGCAGATAAATTTAGGCAGAGGAAAAGCGGGTATATACTCGAGCTCTACTGATGTAAAGCCTTCTCCTGACCGCAGCATACGCACAGCCAAGTGAGCTCTAGCTCCTATGCCAACATGAGAAAGTTCTTATGGAGCTCTCGACCACGGTTTTTATCTCAGAGCATTTCAACATACCAGGCCCAGGCCATGGTAACAGCTCAAGCACCAAGGCTTTGACTTTGACGGGACATCAAAGTGAAAAGGAGAGGGAGAGTCTGCCAGGCACTCGGCAGCCCACACTGCCGAAGGGAGACGCCTCTGGCTGCTGCAAAGTTGTGCTGAATCAGTGCAGACTTCTGGAGACAGGCCAGGTGGCTCTCAGCCCGTTTGAAGAGGAAGGCTGGTGGGTGCTTAGTGACTACGCTACTCATCCCAAACACCCGTGGCTGGTGGGAGAACACCACCTGCTTTTGCTGGCAGAAGCAAGCTGGTCTTCCCACACACGGGCGGGCATGCTCCCTCTCATTAAAAAAAAAATTAAAAAAAACCCCAAACCTCGAAACAACAAAAAATACATCACGGAAAACACTGACCCTGTAGTGGTAAACGTGACATATGGAAATGCCATTTGTATGCAATTATGTCCATACA